CACACACACACACACACACACACAGTGACATCCATCATGTGAGCACAACTTTCGACAGAGCAACACGAGCTGCTGTTTTCATCACAATCACCTGGAGACACATTTTAATCTAGAGGGAATTGGACAGACGAATAAACAAACCTTGGGTTTTGCTTTCAGTATGAAAAGCAGATGAGGAGGAGATAATGTATAAAGAGCTTGTCTCCAAATAAAAGCTGCTGCCAGGAGCTTCATCTTCTACTGGGGAGCAGCTGGCTGCACATTTTCCAGCTCATTACGCAGCCACTGAAACATCATGTTGTGTTTACGAGGCTCAGACGTCCCGCAGCGGAAATATTGAACTGGTTTCTAATGATGCCACTTGAGTTACACACACGTAAACAGGCCGAACGTCACTTTATAAATCCACACTCGTTACAGTGCTTCGTTGAAAATTGCAGTGTGATTGATTTCCATTGAAGTGAAACTAGCCCCACCTTGTGCCGAGCAGCTGTAATTGCCTCCTCTGCTGTGTACACACTGTGCGTGCTGACATCTCTGTTGAGGCGGGACGACAGAGTGGTTAACAACCGTTCTCACTCAGCCGTGACACCTCCAGACCACAGACCCGTCATTTATAATAAAATTACACCTGTTTTTCCTGGTGTGACTCGTGTAATCATCGACCTGAGGAGACGGAGAAGAGCGCTGCGGCCTCTGTGGTGCCCTGATCAAAGGTTGAATCATCTCATTTTGATGTCTTGTGTTGTCGACAGGGATCCGTCACTTGCGATGACTTCTACAAAGATTAATCTGGAACCTGAGTTTTCTTCCTTTCACAAAACGTCTCCTGAACATGAACCGGGAACTTTGACCTCCTGTGTTTTTTGCACTTTTGTGATTTTGTATTTTTTCTTTCTGTGATGCTGCTGTCGTTTCAGGATTGTGATTCTTGTGCAAACGTAGACATGAATGTGCTTTAGCTCTAACAGAACCAAACTTTTCTTCTTTCCATCTTTTTTTATATTTTACTTTCATCTGTCCACAGATCTTTATTCCAGAACTCTACTGGTTTCTTTCATGCGTTTCTCTGAACCCCCGTCTGCTCTTCAGAGTTTGGTTTTTCTGTCTTGTGGTTGTTGAGCATCTCTGAGGTTCTGCTCATGATGTGTCCTCTCCATCTTTGACAGGGAATCATTTTCTGCTCAAACACAGGACTTGTGATTGTCGGTGTACCGGGTCAGGGGCGAACGCACACTCCCGACACAGGGAGGCTGCGGCGTTCAAGCCTCTTGAGCTTCTGATCCAAAGTTTTCACAGAGACAGACAGAAAAGCAGACTCACCTCCTTGCTCTAAAGGCCCCTCGGAAACTGGTGCTTCTGTCTTGGCAACTCTGTGACCTTCAGCGACCTTCACGGCCACGGCGCGGCAGATGGCCCCGATCTTCCTCTCGAGGGAGCGCACACCCGCCTCTCTTGTGTACCTACAACAAACAGACACACAAACGAACAACAGACAATAAATTCATGTGGATGTGAGCTGAGTTTTCACTAGTGCTGAAGATTCTGTTATTTAACCCCTTAACATCCCTCTGCTCAGGTTCCTGCTCGAAAAAAATATCCTAAAATGAATAGAGTGACTCTCTGCAGCTACATGAATAAACTTGGAATCTATGTAAAGGTAAGAGATTTCTGCAGAGGTGCAAATGTCAGTATAGATGTTAGTCGCTCAGGGTGAATGGAAATGAAGATAAAAGATCTACACTGGTTTCAGACATTAGTTCTAAACCCTTCACTTTATTGAGGTGTAGGCTGAACTGTAAATAGATAAAACTGAATTGATGGTAAAATAAAGTCTGCAGTTAATTATTATTGATTATTAAAACTAAAAGAATCATGTGGATCTGAATCAGACACCTGATGCATCATGAGAGGACAAAACACAGACCAGGCAAAAAATAAAATAGAAATCGGTGCAAAGTCTTTTTCATGCAGCCGCCTGACACTGGTTTCTGAATCTGCTGAGTCACTACTCGTCTTTTTAAAGACAACCAGCCAGTTAAACCGGGAGCGTCTCTCGGAGGACGAGCATCAAGCTGTGCGCTTTTGGCTGTTTCTATAGTAACCAGACCTGAGGGCGTTAAAGAGAAGCTCTGCAGGTCGGCACGAAGCACGAAGCTCATCATCTGACGGAGCGACAGCGCGGCGAACATTTCATTCAGGCTGTTTAGCGTAGCGTTGACTGAGTTCATGAAGATCACCATGAAAACCACAGTGCTGCTGTGTTTAATTACTGGACGATCAGAAAACCATGTGAAATATGAGGAAGTGACTGTGACAGACGGACCATTGTAAACTCATGGACAGGAAACATGAGGCCGACTGATGTTTTTAATAACAAAGGCGACTTTGAGAGAAGTATGTTTAAAACACACTGAACCTTTTCGACAGTTAAATGATACTTTCTCAAGTTGGTCTCAGATGAGAGCTGCCAGCTGGCCGAGGTCTTCACAGCAGCATCTCAGCAGTGAACCTAGTTTATATAAAGTCTACATCACTCTGGGGACTTTAATGCAATGTGAGAAAAAACATATAGACCTCTATGTGGCCTCTGGTTTCTTACAGTTGCTACACAAGCAGCTTGAATGCACTTCAGAGCCAACTCTGCATCAGCTCCAAAGGACGCCACTGATTATTTGGTTGGACTTCAATCGTTCCTCTCAAGCTTCCTAATTCATCCTCCTACAAACACTCGTAGAGTCTAGAAAAGCCCGACTTCCAAGAGGCCACTGTGCCCTGCCAAGAAAAAGTCCAAATCCCGAATCTGCATAAAACAACCTCACATTTTTGGGTTTTGTTCAGTTAAACTAATGATTTATTGCAAATATAAATGAAAAAATTCCTTTATCAACCTAGAAAACCAGTTTTGAGTGAGCCGTCTGTCGCCGGCACGAGAAAACAACAAATAAGAGCAAAGGCAGAAAATAAAAAAGAGACTGAGCACTTCTATAATTACTTACCTGCTGATTATAGCCTGCGTGGTGTCCTGAGGTAAATGCAGCTGTTGAGGTGTTAATCCGTGCTGCTCCAGCTGGTTCGGGATCAAGTGACGATGAGCTATCTCCACCTTCTCCTCCTGAGTGTAGCCTGAAACAACAGACAGTGGAAAATGAATAAAGAATCTTGAGGTGATGGAGCAGAACCACAGATGTGATCATTTTCTGTTGTACACTTCTCCTCACCAATATCTGGCACTTGTGCTACCCACAATGCAACTTGATCATCAACGGTTTAGTCCATAGATTGTATATAAAAAGGATTCAGGCACAGAAAGTGAAGCCAATGCTGAAGTGCCTGAAACATATGTTCTCTCAAATGACCAGCAGAGGGCGACTCCTAGGTTGTTTAGAAGCATATGAGAAAATGTCTCAAGACCAGAAAAAAAACGAACCCAGGTCAAAAGTGTTCAAATAGAATAAAAGCTTCAACTTGGCTCAGAAAACTTTTTTTGGCAGACGACAGTATCTTAACACACGGAATGAATGAGTGAATCGATAAGATATGTTTTACCTGAACCGGAACCCACCTGGTACCTGCAGCACCTCCATCCGGTCCAGCAGGGCCGGGGGAATGGTCGCCGTGGTGTTTGCGGTGGCGATGAAGAGCACTTGGGAGAGGTCAAAAGCCACGTTGAGGTAATGGTCTGTGAAGCTGTGATTCTGCTCCGGATCCAGGACCTCAGGAAACACATGGACGTTGGTTTCCGGTCATGACACGAAAATCAAACTTAGATGGAAAAGTGAAGAAACTGAAGAACAGTAAAGGACAAAAAAAAAACCCACTAGAGGACTCAGGGAGGAGGAGTAATGAATCCTTATTAGCTAAGGTGGAGGTTCTCATCAGAGAATGCAGGGAAGACGTCTGACACGACTCCGGACGAAAGAAGAGCACACTCACCTCCAGCAGAGCAGCTGCAGGGTCTCCTTGCAGGCTCTTCCCCAGTTTGTCCACCTCATCCAGGAGGAAGACAGGATTATTTACACCCACCGTCTTCAAACCGTTGATGATGCGACCGGGCATGCTCCCTACATACGTACGTCTGGAGACAGAGGCAGGACATGAACCGCTGACGTACCCAGTGAAGGTTTGCTGGTGAATTCAAACAAGCTCAAGGCTCCGAAAGTACAGGACATTATTCCACTGCTCAAAAAAAAAAAAAACTGACTTGAATGGTCACGTTGTTATCAACCAGATCAATCAAACTAATTTAATTTGTATAGCTCATATTCACAAATCCGTTTTGTCTCATAGGACTTTACAAGGTGCAACATCCTCTGTTCCTGACCCTCAACAAGAGTCAGGAGAAACTATTAACAGAGGAAAGACACAGTAGAACCCTCAGACAGAGACACACGTGAGGGATCCCTCTCCCAGGACGGACAGAAGTACAATGGATGCTGCATGTAACTGAACACGTCAACAAAATAAATAGGGAGGATTTTTTTTTTTTTACTAAATCCTGCTGACAAAAAAAGTAGAATGGCGCTCAGTGAAGTGCATCCCTCCGCCACGGGCCAACAGACCCCTGAAGCTGAACTAAAATTCCCACACTAACAGATACTGAATGTGTTAATCCTGCTGACAACACACAAACACACAGCAACATAACCTCCATGTCACAGTCAGCGCTTGAACACATGCACCGAAATATCTGAACTGGACATTCAATGGACAAACGAGCAGGTCACTTCCACAGAAGTCACAGGGAACGAGAATCTATCGTGCGAACGGTGCAAAACCAAGACAATAATAACATCGTTCATCCCACGAGCATATTTCCAGAAGGTGAGGACGCGTCTCACGTCCCCTGTTGTGTTGAACTTGTGAAACAGAGACTCTGTGACAAATTACCCACTTCAAGTGTTCATAATTTGAAGGCATGAAATTTGCAGTTTCTGAGGTTCAAAGGCAAAAAAATAGAAGAGAGAGAAAAAAAAAATAAAAAAATGTATAACAACCACAGACCAACCAGAAGCTAACAGAAAGTTTTTGTTTTCATTTGAGAAAATAGTAAAATCAACCATTAAAGAACTTTCATCTTTAT